GTATACACACATCTTTTAGGAAGCTATTGTTGAATTTCCAGACCCCAAGTCCACGTTTAGATTCATGAAGATCTAATTTGATTAATACGGCTTGGTGATCCGTTAAGATCGCCAGACGAATATCACACGATACAATATCACCATTTCGTAGGAGGTCACGATATTGTTAACCTTTTCAAAGCCAGACGTCATAATACATCTGGGTTGCCAATTCTTCGTTTTATTATGTTTTTATGAATGTCTCCTCTCCTTGCCGAGTTCATACGGGGCAAGCAATCATTTCCCATTGTGTCAGTTAATCACGTTAATCAAACTACTCTTTCATTGAAGATCAGCAGACTTTGATGTAGAATAACCGTCCACAGTCTGCTATTTGATTCCACTTCTAAAAAACTAAAATATTTCAAAATTTTCAAAACTATTATTATTTAAGTGTGCACTTTGCCTCATTTTTATGTAAAATTTTTTCCTCCGTGTCTCTGTTTTTATCCATTTGTTTCTCTTTTCTAAATTTCTATTGGCTTTTCTGTCCTTCTTTTTCGCTCATAAGTTCACCCATGAGTCTCTCTCTGATTTTCTGTTTTTTTTTAAATTGGGAACATTTTATAATTATTTGGTCATCGTATTCTATATATGGTTTCCTAAACTAAGAATTTTAAGTTGTTCTTCCTCCGGATACCGAACAATACGCAGGATATGTATGGGCGATTCCATTATTTTCTTTTATGCTCGAGGGTCAATAAGAAAGAAAACAAATCGATGATAGAAATACGCTAAATTATGTAAAAATAAGTCTTGGACAAGAGTGTGAATTTGTGATAAGCCGAATGTTTTCCGCGGTTCCCCGCGCTCGCAGGGCGTATTTTAACAGTCTATTATAATCATACAAGGTAAACTGTCATTTCATTTATTTAATATCTGCTCGTCTCATGGTGGTGAATTTGTAAAATTGAAAACTGTAATTAATTACGTTTTCTGATATTTGCCAAAAAAAAAATGTGAACGTTTAACTTACCCTTGTGACGCACGGTAGGCCGAGAACAAACCCAATAATACAACATACAAACGTTAGAAGAGGCTTAAATTTACGCCTTTCTTGTGGTAGTATATCGTAAATGGCGGAAATAACCGTCTCCATCATAGCAAACTTGTAATAAAAAGAATAATAGAATTTACGGTAGACCTATATTATGAATCACATCAATGTAAAAAAAATATCAAATTCGCACTTTTGGAACTTTAAATGATGGAATACATCACCAACATGCGAATTGTGGTAATCAAACACCCGGTTTAAAATTTTATGGTTGGACTGTTGCATGCTTAAATTATATTAATGATAATTTTACATTTGTGAAAACAAACAAACAAATAAAAACACATCGGCTTCATCAATTCTTGTATCTATTTTTGATATACTTTTATATGAATATAGTGAAAGAAAAATATGAAGAAATTTTACCTCACTGTCGAGTCCGAGAGTAAACAGCATGAAGAAAAACAAGAATGCCCAAACTTGTGAACCCGGTAGCAACGACAGTGCTTCAGGATACACAATAAACGCAAGACCAGGACCTAGGTAAGTACAATTGTTAAAGGGAAAACATTCACGTATATTGTTTTAATAACAAACCAGATATAATATTATCAGTATTATTTATTATTATACATTTTCACCACTAACTTATCATCATCATCATCATGACCGTCGCCGTCGCCGCCGTCGCCGTCGCCACCACCACCACTGCCTTCGTTGTTGTAATCGTCGCCACCGTTGCCATCACCCCTGTCGCCGCCGCCGTTATTGCCATTATTATTAATATTATTTAAAATCTTCATTATCAATTTTATTATTAATATTATTACTATATCATTAATATTATTCTTTTACTTACCATCAGCTACAACATCTTCGATAGGAATTCCACTGGTTTTCGACATAAACCCAAGCACAGAAAATATAACAAAACCAGCAAACACACTAGTTCCACAGTTAGTAAATGCAACCACCAAAGCATCCCTACATTAAACATATAAATCAGAATGGATCAAACTTAACAACTGACCAATCAGAAATGGACATAAATACGCGCATGTCCTACAAACACACATGTCCCACAAACTGTGTACGTACGTTTAGACTGTCATGTGTGGGCCCCTGGGACGAGTTTTGACGGAAAGATCAATTACACAGTGGTTCCACAGTAGACCTGAAGTACAACAACTCATATCCCTATAAACTGAGGTGGTTGACCTTTCCTTTCATTCGACTTAATTTTTTCACCTATAATCCTACTTTTAGAGTTTTTAGGAGGTCAGCTTTTCCGGACAGAACCATATAAATACCATAGTTATTTTGTTCCATAATTATTGAAATGTTTTACAGAATGTTTTCTGATGTTAATATTGTTATTGGATCTTTAATAAAAGGTAACTTTATGATTAAACATTAATTATTAAACTTATTGTAAAAATGGACCTAAGTATCATTAATTGTTATTCCTGGGTTACTTCATATCATAATGAATTTAAAAAGAAATCGAATTTTGTGGCACTATATGAAAATCGAAAATGTAAAATAATTATCTGCTAACCTAAAGCAGTTATTGTTGAAGTTGTTAAAGCTAGCCATCGTCATCAGGCCCCCAAAAGACACTCCGAGCGAATAAAAGATTTGTATAGCCGCGTCCTTCCATGGCTACAAGAGACAAGTTAAAAAAAATACACAGTTAAAAATTAATATGATTCGATATTGCAATTCATATCTATCAATTGATCTGTTTATTTCAACTGTACAAGTGGCAAAATTGAGTAAAGTAAATCAATAATTACGGAAAAATCACTGAAATAATTACTTAACAGTTGAAAATGAACCAGTGAATTCGGCTCCTTTTGAACGTACCGTAACGTGTATAGCGAATTTGGCATTGTCATGGCGAAAGGATGGAAAAAGGCTACGCCCTTTTTCTCCCAGTTGTTAAATATTCCAATATCTGTATAGTATTAACCGCTCCGGAGCGTGGCCTTAAACTGTGACGCAAACATCCAGTTGCTATCGAGCTTGGGTTCCTGCCAGACGGAGAGCTGAATTTACTACGGACATTGGGCACTTGCATCCAAAATCACCTTTGAAATTCCATGGGTTTATATCCTGTATATGTTATAGTCTACACATGTGGATGTAAACATTTTCAATTGAATGCTGTATTGTTTTCGACAAAGGGATTATTACTTTTTCTTTTCTTTGTTATCGAAAGTGTTCAATGAAAATAATGTAAGCTGCGAACCTATACATAGAAGGGGGTTTGCGGAATATCGGTAACAACGGGGCTCTCTGTGCTAGTTTACACAGGGCAAAATATAAATAATAATAATAATAATAATAATATATATGTTTAACATTAACACTCGGGTAGGGAATATAAAACTTGGAAACAAAATGTTAAAATATTAATATATATATAGTAGCATTGATTGGTTGTATGAAATACCTTTGAAGTGGCCAATATGTCAACATCTGGAACAATGTAGAATTCGATTCCGTCTCCGGCTCCATCGAGGGTAACCCCACGGAAGAACAACACCGTCAGGATGATGTAAGGAAAGGTAGCGGTAAAGTACACAACCTGCAGATGACAATAAGGTATCAAACATCAGCTCCATTAGTGGAGAGAATAATTTCATTGTATTAAGTAATTGCACACGTCCACATGACACGTGAGACTCCATTGGTGTAAATGAGCGCGTAGAGAAAGGCGGGCAATCACTGCCCGTCGACTGCCAGCCGACAAATTCAACTCCTCTCCCTGTGAATGTTTAGACGACGCGACACCGTCTGCTGATTGTCGGAGGCAGACTGAACGGATAGTCAATAAAAACGATCTGTTGCGGGCTTTGGGTTCTCCGTAGAATCGCCTGGATTGCTACAATTTATGCCTACAACCAACCACAGGATGATACCTCTGGATGAATATATTTAGGCAGCAGTATGATCAGTGAAGAAAATGGGATGAGTAGAACGTTTCTCTAAAGTTTTCCTGGAAAAAGTAGTAATTTTCCTATTAAGTAAAGTATTGTTTCCATAGAATCGCTACACGGTAGCTAAAGCGGTTTTTTAATTGCAATCGAAACACTGCTGTCGCCGACGAAATCTAGAAGGCTTCTGCTACCAATCTGCGTCGCAATTTCGCAAAAAAAAAAAAAAAAGCTGTCGGCATTAACGTGTTGCGATTATGTGGAAACTACGCTTAATAGTCCGGGTACCAATGTAACCTAAGTCTCCGCCTTCACCTTACCTTGCCGGATGATTTGACACCCTTCAGAAGGCAGAGGAAGATGACGACCCATGACGCAAATAAGCATCCGACAAGATCCCATTTCAAGCCGCCGACTTCGTCTATACCACTGGTTATATTATGTACATAGTGACTGAAAAAAAAAAAAAAATTCATCAACCTTCTCGTATCCAGGAATTACACTTCTTGCAACTTATTTAACAAAATCAATATCATATGGTAATTTGCATGCAAATCATCAGTTACTGTTCAGCCGGGCACTAACTGCGTAGTGCGACCGTCCATCCAACTTCGATCCTTGTGAGCGCTAACGCGACGCCGCGTCTGCTGATTGTCGAGCGCAGTCTGAACGGATCGTCATAAACTCTCCGTTGTGCGCGCGTCGTGTCGTTGCGTTCTCCATGGAATCGCGTCGGCCGATGACCGTCGGGCGCAGTGAGTGCCCGGCTTTAGCAGGTAGGCCTACTAATCAATATATGCATACAACTTACTGCCAATACTCATCACTAGCGCGGATGTAGTTACCCTCCAGCCCTGAAATGTTCTGACCGGCGGGGTAGCAATCGGGTGTGTTCCATGTGTTGTTGCACCCGACCCAGGGAAGGTCCCCGGTGGTACAAGACTGGATCATGTAATATATTGTCCACGCAATGATGACGTTGTAATAGATACCGACCAGACCTGAGACAACTATCATGCCGATGCCAACACCTGGATAAAAAGAAGAAGGCTTAGATCATTTGAAACTAACATCAAATTGTAATACTTAAGTTTATTTGTGGTCGAAGAGACACAATGGAATTACACAAGAGTAGTAATAACTTCCACTTCCACGCATTCCTTTTATTCTCTTTGTTAAAAGAAAATCAAATGCCTAAGGTTATGTAGTCAATAATAACTATGCCTATAATGAGCAAATAAATGTTGTAATGTTCTCCCCAGTATACACATAGCCGTCGGAAGCATTTTGCAAGTGGTCCGGCCATTATAGTGAGGGGGTGGTGCGGGGTGGGGAGGGGGTTAGTATGAGCACTTGACAAATTTGGTAGTAAATGAAGAGTGGAGACCCGCTATCTCTATCCACATCTACAGGATTTTGAAGTTAGCTAAGGTCTGAGAGCATAATTGTGACCCAAGATTACAAAAGGGCTGGAAACTCGTACTATATCAAAATGGGGTTTTTCAGTGTATAGGTATAAGATGTGTATAAGAGACAGATATAAAACAAGACATGAACCGCTTCGTATTTTTTGAATTACTTCAAGGTTATTTATTTATACTTCACTTAGTACTAAAGATAGTCCATACCATGCTCTAGAAAATTACTTTTGAAGATTTATTTCTAAAGCAATTCTATTGGCGACAATCACGTTATTGTTTGGTTCTTTAAAGCTGTTTAACTATATTGTACATGATTTGAATGACGTTGCATAAATATTCTTCATCAGTATAGGTTTTATTGATGAAGTATATTTACACAACGTCATACAAATCATGTAGGTTGTTGTGTAAATATAGCCTACTTCATCAATACGTTTTAGTGCAGATGATTGTTCTGTTGGCCTCAATACTTTTAAAAGTTTTTTAACAACTAGTTTCTTAAAATATGTACTTAATCGCAATCTACATCATTTCTGGTCCGCTTCACTGTCAGAGGGCTTTCCAAGTCTTTTCCAACAGGTCATGAAACAGTTTAGTATTCTTTAAATTAATTCAAGGCTATTTCCTTCATTTAGGTATACATTTACGTAATCTTTACCAGGGTACGATGCACTACAAATACTTTCGCAACATACTTTAGGGCCTGAATTTTGTGGTGAATAAGTTGTTTGGAAGCGAAGTGTGGCGGTTTGAAAGTTGGTGAATTTATAAACGTTTCTCGTAGAATAGCCTTCATAAAATTACTAAATTTTAGGGTTTAGAGTTGAAATATTGAACCCAAACTTCAAAAATAGTAAGATTAAAGGTAATACTTTATATTTATGATATAATCACATTTTGCTCAAATTTCATGTTATACTGTTTATTGGCCCTTTTTCTCGAAACCTGGTGATGCGAGCCCCACCATGGTTGGTAAACAACTTGTTTGGCGCCTATGAATGTATGGAAACAGATGCTGGCAACCTCCCTTCCCCTCAAGGGGCAGCCACAATATATAAAGTTAGCATGGTTGAAAGTCTATGTTGGAAATATGGCACCTCTGGATGCCATAAAATAGCAGCTACAAAAGCTGTAGAAAATAATATTGTTAAAAATTTAATTTATTATCATTGCCATAAGTAGATAATTGAGTTACTTATTCCTCCAGAAGAGCAAGAAACATGAATACATACTAATGCATAAAACAAAAATGAATATAACATACTGTAATTATATTTACACGATGTGGAGGGTATTCAGCTATGAAAAATATACAGAATATGCAATAAGTAAAACACAGGATACTATTTGCCACACAAATGTACCTGCAGCCTACATGTTATGAACATAGGCCTACTACTCGTACAATTTTAATTATTCTTGCAAAGTTCAGCCTGGAACATTAATAAGTTATTGATCACGCTTTAGAAGTTATATACTATCACTAGAATTGTAAAAAAATAATAATAAATTAAGTGCTGTGTTTGCTTCTGGTAGGCCTTATACCGATTACACATTAATTTTAGTCAACCTTCCTTCGGTATATTCATGCAGACAGACCATGCTCGTATACTTCCATGGAGAGATCTATTTCCAAGAGACAATATGTCTTTAAACCTTGTTTATTTTGATGCCCAGAAAAAATGTGAATTAATGATGATCATAATTATGATGAGGGGATGATGATAACAATCACGATTATGATGACGGTGATAATGACTACGATGACAATAATGATGACGATGATGATGTCGATTGCGATGACGTCGACGATGATGATGAACGGTAATGATGTTCATGTAGGTGTTGGCATGTTTGAGAGTGATGGAGAAACTAATGCAGACTAAAGTGAAGTGAGTTCAATCTGGAATCAAACCGAAAAATGCCCCGGTCAGGGTGCAGCAGGGATAAAAGCCCCTGGAACAATCAACAGTTTTGATTAGGTAGAGTCTAATTTAGGTCGCTATGCTATTTTTTAGTCTTATAATAGTCCATCGTACCATGATTGAAAAAGTCAATGCGATGCGTACATTCATATAATTCATAATTATCATTATATATTTATTTCAGAAAGTAATGGAATTGAGAAAAAGTGGTCCGGCCATAGCCGGTGCGGCCGGTGCGCTTCCGACGGCCCAGATACAGTACAATACATGCTAATATTTGTTTAAGTTTTACTTTCCCATTCAGTGTATAGGTATATAATTAATTTATATCGGCGCAGTTAGGGTATAGCTCGGACATTTTGTCCCTCTCTACCCAGGAGATAAATGGACACGGTATATACTGGAAAAGTAAAACAGACTGCTGAGCGGGAGGAGGGGCAAACCACCCTTCTCACACAGCCTTGCATAGTCTGGCCCAAAAGCCCAGAGCTTCATGTTTCGACCTTAAGTACGCTTACCTCGGAATAGAGGGCTTATACTCCAGGCAGAAATTGTTCCAAGACTAGCGAACTGTCCAAATGCCATCTCCATAAAGAACAGTGGCAAACCAGCACAAATCAACATAATCAAGTACGGGATCAAAAAGGCACCTGGAATAAAAAAAATATGTCAAATGGATTTGAGACACTTCTAATTTATCCGACAACCTTCTGATTCGAGACACAGCTAACCCTCTATAATTGAAGTCAGGACCCCAAGACCACCCCAAATGTCCAGGTCTCAAAGGTTGTCTCAAAATTGGAGGTTATTATTTGCATGGACCCTTAAATTGGCTGCTCAGTAGGCCTTACTTCAATAAATTTAGGGTTTTTCATAGGCTTCATAGCAAAAAAAGCAAACCCGTATCCGGGGGGTGGGGGGAGGTTATGGTCCAGGAGAACCCCCCTTTTTTAACAAACACCCCTCCTTTCTGGCGAACCCCCCCCCCCTCCACCACCACCCACCAAATTTCCCGAACAAGTTCTCTAACCCAACGAATGCACTGCAAAACCACCCAGCCGCCCAGACTCGGACGTTTTCAAACATATCTAGTTTTATAGCATTATTGAGACCAATAAAGCACAAATATCCTCTGGCTTTGGCGGTTTCGCCTACCCACCAGGGCTTCGACCCTGGACTCCACGCCCAATGAGCCCCCCCCCCCACCTTGAAAGAACCTGGCTACGGGCTGTTTAATAGTAAGGCTCCATAAAAAAAATTTTTCCTAACCTCGCCCCCATTTTACCGATGTTCACAAGTAAATCAATGGTTAGGGACACATATATAAAAATTCATAGGAATGGAATCAAATGTATATTTAAAAAATATGTTTTTGTTGTACCAGTAAAAATATTTTCAAGAAATCCTGAGCTTTTCAAATGAAAACAGATGGAAAAACGTCGCTTTGAAATAAAAATATGTTGATTGAAAAAAAGAAAAATCAGAATTTCCCCAAAAGGTATGAGGGGGGAGGGGGGGGGGTGTAAACTAATAATGTTTTTTTTTATGAGGCTTAAGAGTAGCCTGTAATTAATGTTTAAATAATTGACTTTTAAGTGTTTTCACTATTTTACCACATACACAGAAGTCCTATACCTTTCAATATCTACCTTTACATGCATAAAACGTCATTAAATATGCAGACGAAATTCAAGTATAGATAAGTCAGAGCATCATTAAATATACAGTACGCCTATACAAGAGAAGAGCAAGTTTTCGTACCTCCACCGTTTGCATAACACAAGTAAGGAAACCGCCAGACGTTTCCGAGTCCAACTGCATATCCGATACACGATAGAAGAAACTCAATATGGCTACCCCATTGGCCACGATTAACCACTGCCTCAGAATCCTCTATCTCCATCTCCTCCATCTTATTCTTCTTCATATCTACATCTACTTCGTTTGCTTCAAGCGCCTTTTTATCCTGAAAATTAAGCAAAAACATTTATGCAAAAGTCTCTGAAGAAGAAAAATGTAGGCGAAGTTTCTTTATATTATAGTTTGTGTACTTGTGGAATTGGAAACGTTAATTGGAAACGTTTTGTTTAAACTATCCTATATTTCAACTCTGATTCAGTTATATTTTAAATTAACGTACGTCTTTTGTCCTCATGTAAATAAAATTTAATTTTCATAGTTAAACACATTATTATTATACAATTTATTCATTTTAAGCAAGCACTACAATATTAGACATCATTTTCAAGTAGGTCTATATTAAATGATGTAATTCTAATCAATATTCAATGAACTGACTCTCCATTTTGTTTTAGGGCATTATTATTAAAGGTTTTTTTTGTCATTTTTATGGAATAATACATCTTTAACCTATGCGAAATACTACTTTTAAAGTCATATTTCTATTCACGTCAGTGATAGGGTCCACTTCATTGCAGTTGGATGGTCTAAGAGCCTCTTAAATTGACGCATGGTGCATTAAACAATAGCTAACACGGAATACAACCTTAGCCCGACCTAGGTAGGCATATTCACACACAACAAAAACAGTAAACGAAACCATTGTCAATTACAACAAAATCTAGAAACTTAAAACCCAATGTCTCTACGGATGAACAATTCTTAAGCCATAGTGTCAAATATAATAAGCAAATTCAATTAAATTTGAACATTGTCGTGTATAGTAGTATCCGTGTAAAATAACAAGTATTGTTGACTATACAACTGTTAAACATTTTCTAAGCTTATTTATATATTTTAAAGAAACAGTTAAATAAGCCCATAAGGCCAGTGGCGTATCAAAAGTGGCACGCCCCTCCAAAAATTACTCGACCCCCCAGTCGCGCCCCCAAAAATCACTTGCAAGGAGTTAAAATCACCTAAATCACCTTATTGCGAGTTAGCGCCCCTCAAAGGATCATCGAGCCCCCACTTCACCTTCGGGCTCCCATCAGCACCCCCATTTCAAGACTTACATACGCCACTGCATAAGGCAACTAACTATAACGATCTTAGATGCGATTTGTCTGAATTAAACCATAAGTTAGGCCTATGCATTGAGAATAATTCTAGGTAAACCGCGATCAAGCTGCAGCATGTTTGTCTCATGCAGGCTACCATTTGGCGAATCTGTAAGAAGATCGGTGTTCGACTTCATGACAACGATTTTTGCATCAGAAAACTCTATTCTTTCATGCATTTTCTCTTCTATATTGAAATCTTCAATAATGTTTTTAAATGGCATTTCCTATTGCATTAATATGATTGGATATCTGCAAAGGTATTTGGTAATGTGTATATGCATACAGATTTTAGTTATCCTTCTTTTTATTTATATTTGTTATATGGATATATACGTCCGAAATTAAAGTTGATTAATTGATTGTTATATTTTATGTAGGCCTATTTCTTTTATTTCAAATGTTGGTGTTTATTTTCTGTAGTGCAACAGTGATCTAGAAACCTATAATCATTGTTATATTTCTATAGCGCCGTCCCCGTCATTAGGCATGTGCTGTAGGCCAATATACAAAACCAAACCAGAAAGTTAACCTACTAGTCTGCTGAACTATTAAAAAGAAAACCCACTAAACGCCAGCAGATTTAACGAAACCTTTTGTCAGTAAGAACTTAAAGAGAATATGTGACGCCCTCATGCTTCACCCTAAAAATCCAGTTATATTTGCCATGGATGAACTATATAACATCATAATCCCACAAATTGTATTTGAGTAATTTGAACCTATGTTAACACGATTTGTTTGCTTGGCTGCAAGTCAAATGTTGACAGAGTAATCGAAGTACCCGAGGATATTGGAATAATGGTCGTCTTTTATACTGGAATATCGGCCAGTAAAATGTTATACAATATAACGTTGTAAACTCTCCACCGTTCTGTAAATATCAGTGTTTATCAATGCTATTGAAACTTGCCATGTAGACAAATATCTTGCATAATTCTGTACCACTTATAAATTCGAAATATCTTCAGCCAGTGTTGTTCTCCTGTAACGTGATGGAAAGTTTTTACGACGGGTCATAATATGACCCGTCGTAAAAACTTTTCAGAAATAAAAATAGAACTATTCCTTTGTATTTTACATTCAAGAGACCTTTGTAAACAATGAAAAAAAAAAAAGAAATTTAGACACGATGTAAACAATGATATTGAACTACCAAAGAAGGAACATGATCGAGTATCTATAGATATCACGTAAGACAGGTAGAATTAGATAGGCATACACTCTCCATATTTATAGAAGCCTTATGGCCTAAGGCAAGGTTCCAATCCTAGGATCTTGCACCGATCACAACCCTCATCATGAAGGGCCCATGTGAATTGCATTGGTTAATATTTTTTCTGACGATTCAAATCGCACTTACGAGATTATATTATTCCGTTTTCGGATGTATAATCGCT